AAAAAGTAGTTTTTTAATTGTTTTTATGATTGCCTCTGAAATATTTTTAAATTATGAAATATCTAAATAATTTCTAACTATATTTTTGATTAGAGAGGAATGCGTTAGATGTTTCTCATAAATTGAGAAAAAGATAACCTGTGTAGACTTTTCTACCAATTTAAAATATAGTAACAAAATTGCAGTAGGCAGTAAAATACGAAAAAATTTCAGAAGCATCATTTACTTAATGCTTTTTGTCACCTAAATAAATAGGAATGTATGCAACTGAAAACTAGAAAGATGTTATCCATAGTAACTTCTCTATTAAATACTGCATTAGTAAATAAGAGCATTTTTAAAATTGTTGAGAATTATTCCTTTGTAGCAAGTGTCAATAACATATCTTTTGCGTTCCCCATGAAATAAACAGCTATGTACAGGAGTGAAATCAGACAAGTGAAAACAAAATTAAAAGCCAAAAGACTAATGGGTATAATAGTAGAATATTTTCTTATCCTAGATTATTAATATTTCGTTGTCCCTGTTCCTCAAAATGATGACTTATTTAGGTGATTTTTAGCAGAAGGCTATGCCTTTTTGCATGTGCTTCTGATGTAAGTGTATCCATAGCGTATGTAGTACGCAGGGAGATCAAAAAGATGGTGCAAATAACAGAAAATTGCATTTTTAGAGGGTCTTTGGTCTTTTTAATGAGTTATTTTAACATAACCATATCCAAGACAGTTCAAAGTCTTTTTAGAAAATAGTTTTCTTTTAACAATGAAGTCAGCCATTTAATTACTCCCTATTTAGCTGGAAATGTTATTATTCCTGACATGAGTCAGAGTAATAGCCCTTACTGTACCCTACTTCTCAGTGTCCAGCAGCACTACGTATTTAAAAAATTGTTATGACAGCTAGATCGTGCATGCTTTCAGTCTTTCATATCTTAATAATTATGAGAATGTTTCCTGTGTTTAGGTACATTTACATTTTGTATTTATGTAGTCTCTCAAATAATTTCGTGTGACAATTATTCAGTTGTTACATAGAACTGTTAAAATGCGTACCACTACTTACTTTTTGGTTTTAAGGTATATGTGGATAAATACTTCTTTTTTTTTCTGTAGAATTTTATCAAATCAATAGATTCAGGAGAAACAAACTTGGATGGAGCAATAGGTAAGGTAATCTATGATATTGCTATATTTTTATATGTAGACATTAGAAGTGTAGAATTTTATAAGGAAATATAATTATTTCTACCAATAGGGCAAGCTGCATCAGAAGAATTGATTAAGACTACTTTATCAGCATTTGAAGCAGTAACACAGCATCCTGTCTTGTTGACAATCCATCGCTTTACAGTAAGTCTGGCAACAAATTAAACAGTTGCAGGCTAATTGGCTGAATTGCATTGATAAATTGAATGTTTTGAAGATTTAGAAGCTGTTTGAGTTATGGCTTAAAATGTATTGTGGTTCTGTTTCACAGGAAAAATCTCTGTTGTTTTTAGAGAGATTTAATTCTCAAAGAAGAGGAGAGACATTCAGACTGTTTACTACATCTAGTTGAGAAGCTACAAAGAAAGTGAGGGGGATATTTGCTTAAAGTTTAGAAATAGCAGTTCTTAAAATGATTTTCATGTAAAAATATGAAAGCGAGTATGCTACTCATACCTCAAAGCAAGTATGTTGCTATGTATTAGTGAAAATTTCACCATGTTGTTTATCATGCTTTTAATCTGACCTGTAAGGGCCACCTCTGAGGGTTGAAAATTACATGGCAATTTATCAAAGCCACATGCTGTCAACTTCTCAGATCACTGAAGATTTTTTGTCTGTTTGATACTTGGTCAAATTATTTACTTTCAGCTAAGCTAGCTGAAGCTAGAACAATTATATTGTGAAATAGCTGTCAGCAAAACAGTAGCTCAGAATGCTTGAAGTAGTGATTGACAAATCACTGCAACTTGTCCCACTGTATTTCTTTGCTTTGGTTCCCACCAAAAATATAACCCACCGTACTTGCTGGGTTCACCACTTAATTCAAATCAAAATGTGTGTTAATGGAATTAGGTTAATGGCATGGCACCCTCAACATAGACGGGAAGACAGGCTTTAACAAGTTGGGCTAGATAAAAATGGGTGATCTTGGAGATTAAATTTTTTTTTAGAATTTGAATGTTATTTGGTGCGTGCTTTAGTTGAAAATTTAGATTACAAAGTCTTAAGAAGTGAAAACAGTAAAATCAAAAATACAAATTGAAATTTAAATGAAGATACCCACAAAAATATAACCAATTAATAGTCAGAAGGGAAATAGTACGGAATAACACAGTTCAATATACTTTTAAGTGATATGGCCATGGGTGTTCTCTAAAAGAAATTTAAATGTAAGTGAGGAATAAGCATCTATTCATATTGCCCTATGTGCCTGTCAGTACATTAGTAATGTTGTTATGGCAATATTTTAGAAATAACCTCCATTTTTAAAATAATTGTTTAATTTCTGTGGGTTTTCAGTATGTCTTATAGTGCCAGAAACATGTACCATTTTTTTGGAGGTCCATCAATATTTACTGAAATTTCAATACCTTCTGTCAACACATTATATAAAATTTCCCTAGCTGCTGTTTAAACTCTAATGGTCTGTTGTTGTTATACCCCCTCCCACCCCCACCAAGAAAATACCAGCAAGGGAAGAGTTCCTCTTTACCACCCTTCATTCCCCACTCCCCACATTCAGTACAACATTATATTGTAAGCAGGGAACTACTATCCTACTCTCTTTTAAGTAATCACTGGCTAGCAGTAGGTGAATTTTGTTTAAGTATCTGAATTTATGGGAAAGGGCTTATTTCATCACATATGACAAAACTTTTAGCTGTTTGTTTAAAATCCATGTCAGCACATCAGTTAAACTTGTGTGGGTAAAGGTAAAACTTCCTGCCTATTCAGTGCTTGTAAAGAATAGCTTCCTTGATTTTGAATGGATGTATTTTGAAATACATTAGCTAAAAATAATTATATCTTTGTCAATCAGCAGCTTTTTTTTGAGAAAATAAAATATGTTACTTTGCTTGTCCATTTTTGTAAATAACAGTTATAATTTAAAAGAGCCATCTGACACCCAGCAAATAGCCATTTGGACCCAAAACACAGTGGAGAAAGTGCCTTGAATTTAGTATGTCAGATGCAAGAAATTAACCACTGTAATTAATAATATCTAACCACATCTGTCACTACTGGTGTAAACAGTAATTAGTTTAATACTATTTACAAAGTCTAGTGTGCTAATTATTCTTGAATGTACAGCTCATGTTACTTTAGAGGAAAATGCTACTTCATCTTTCATGATGCATATGGAATATTTCTAGAAATCCTGTTACTTGAGGGATATCTTCTAATTGCTTCTCACTGTGCGTGACTGGAATATATGAATGTACATACCACCACCCAACATAATGTTGTCTTGCTTTTTTGAAGCAAGACATGTTGAAAGTTTCAGATCAATACTTAAGGATAATGGTGGTTAATATGAAACTCTTCTACTGAAGAGAAATATGTATCTTAAGTTATTTTTTGAAGCCTGGATTGCTCACAGAGGAAGTGGGAGGAAGACCAAACCTTCTTGAGAGGGTGCATTTTTTCCACTAAAACAGTGACATTGCTTTAAAGTTTCTAATGGGAAATGAAACTTATTTTTATAAAGTTCAGTGAAGTTGATAAAAAATGAGGTTCTATTAAGCAAGCAGAACCAGCATGTTTTTCAATTTAGTTCTGGTTTTAGTTTAGCTACAATGGAAATTACATAGGTTAATAGGAATTTCAGAACAACATTTCAGGTTCTTTTCTGCTTTGAGAAAAAAGAATTACTTGTTCTGGGTTTTAGTTCATGTTTGATTTTTCTTCTGTACTTATACCTTGAACAAAGAAACATTAGTAAGTTGTTTTTTGTGATCAAATTTCAGACTACTATCAAATGGAAGCCAATTATTTGGGAGATTCATTTCTGTGGTGGCTGACTATATATTGCTAAGTGTGTTAAAGGAAATTATTTTAAAGCGCTCAAAGCCAACTGAGAGTGGCAATTCTGTTTTGCATATAGTTGTGTGCATTTTTACAAGATAAAAACTAGAGAGACTGCAAGCTTTAAAAGAGCTCTAAGTTTTTTAGGTACTCAGATGTTATGATGAAGGGCATCCTGAAGAATCTGTATATATCACAGTGGAATATAAACAATGGTGCCTTAAACTGGCACATGAGCTGTTCCATCACCTTTCCAGGGATGGAGGTGAGGCTGACAGGCCTGGAGTTTCCTGGGTCCTCCTCCTTGCCCTTTTTGAAGACTGGCGTGACATTGGCTTTCTTCCAGTCCTCAGGCACCTCTCCTGATCTCCAGGACCTTTCCAAGAGGATGGAGAGTGGCCTAGCGATAACATCCGCCAGCTCCCTCAGCACTCGTGGGTGCATCCCATCAGGGCTTTATGGATTTATGGATGTCAAGTTTGGACAAAAGATCTCTAACCCGATTCTCCTCCACCAAGGGAGAGTCTTCCTTTCTCCAGCCTTCCTCTCTTGTCTCCAAGGTCTGGAATTCCTCAGGACTGGCCTTAGCAGTGAAGACTGAAGCAAAGAAGGCATTCAATAACTCTGCCTTCTCTGTAGCCTTCGTCACCAGGGCACCCACCCCATTCAGATTTAATTCCAACTGGGCCTTAGCCTTCCTTGTCGCATCCCTGCACACTCTGACAACATCCCTGTATTCCTCCCAAGTGGCCTGTCCCCTTTTCCACATTCTGTACACTTCCTTCTTCTGTTTGAGTTTTGCCAGGAGCTTCTTGTTCATCCATGCAGGTCTCCTGCGCCTTTTGCTCAACTTCTTGCTCATGGGGATGAACTGTTCTTGAGCCTGCAGGAGGTGATCCTTGAATACTGACTAGCTATCCTGGACCCCTCTTCCCTCTTCTAGGGCCCCATCCTATGGGATTCTTCCAAGCAGGTCCCTGAAGAGGCCAAAGTTAGCTCTCCTGAAGTCCAGGGTTGCAATCCTACTCATTGCCCTGCTCCCTCCTCGCAGGATCCTGAACTCCACCATCTCATGGTCACTGCAGCCAAGGCTGCCCCCAACCTTCACATCTCCAACCAGTCCTTCCTTGTTTGTTAGTATAAGGTCCAGCAACACACTTCTCCTTGTTGGCTCCTCCACCACCTGTATCAGAAAGTTATCATCAGTGCTCTGCAGGAACCTCCTGGATTGTTTGTGCCTAGCTGTATTGTTCCTCCAGCAGATGTCAGGGTGATTGAAGTTCCTCATGAGAATCAGGGCCTGTGATTGTGAGGCTACTTCCAGCTGTCTGTAGAAGGCCTCATCTACTTCCTCTTCCTGATTAGGTGGCCTGTAGCAAACACCCGCAACAGTAACATCCATGTTAGTCTGTCCCTTAATCCTTACCTGTAAGATCTCGACCTGCTCATCTTCCACTCCTAGGCAGAGCACCATGCATTCCAGTTGCCCTTTCACGTAAAGGGCTACTCCTCCTCCTTGCCTTCCTGGCCCTATCCTTCTTAAAGAGCCTGTAGCCATCCATGGCAGCATTCCAGTCATACGAATGATCCCCCCCTTGTCTGCCTAATTGCTGTGGGATCATAGCCCTGCAACTGTACACAGATCTCTGGTTCCCCCTGTTTATTCCCTATGCTGCATGCATTGGTGTACGGGTACTTCAGAAACTTCAGAGAGTTATCCAAGCATGCTGATTTCTCAGAAGGAGTGTAAGATGTTTTCCTATAGTCTTGTTTTGTAGGGACTTCCTTGGCTTGAGGTATCCCCACCGGAGTCCTGTTTTGGTGACTTCATGATCTCTATAACTCTCCCCTTCCCCATCTTTCCTAGTTTAAAGCCCTCCTAATCAAGTTGGCCATTCTGTTGGCAAAGACGCGTGTGCTGCATTTAGTAAGGTAGGTCCCACCTCTCCCAGTCAGTTGTCAATCTTCAGAGAGTCCCATGGGTCGCAGAAACCAAAACCCTATTGCTAACATGAGCTGCGCAGCCAGTTGTTTACTTGAAGTATCCATCTACTCCTCCTCCCATCCTTCCCCCTCATTAGCAGGTTTAAGGAGAAAATGACCTGGGCCCCTAGACCCCTGACCACAGTCCCCAGAGCTCTGTAATCCTGTTTGATACTTTCCAAGCTGCATTCGGCAGTATTGTTGGAGCCCACATGGAAGAACAGCAGGTGGTAATAGGTCAGACGGGTGGGAAGCTTCAGCAATCTTTCCATGACGTTATCATTTTCACTTAAAATGACGACACAAGGTATAGAAACTTCTACAGGCATTTTGCTCATCTAAGTCTTTTCTTG